GCTTCCTTAGATTAAAGAAACATTTGTTTTATAACATTGTAGAATCAGGCGCACACCAATTTTTGGGCATTAGGAGTTATTGGATTTGTCTTGCTTTATATTTGTTTGTTAGTTTTAGTCGAGGTTTTACGGCACTCGCAACTGCATAAGGTCATATGAGCGCCAGAAGATTAAAGGTGTTACAAGAGAGCAACAAATATAAGAAAGAAGGAGGAGAGATAAGGATGACAGATGTTTGATTGGAAAGAAGAAGCAAACCACACCAGAGCCCCCGCCAACCACCCAATTCTTGCTTTAGAAGTAAAAAATACCCATCTATCTAGGATAGAAGTTCAGGTATTTGTGATTGAAGGAGGTTGGGGATTGCCTGGTCTCAATCGAGGTAGAATTAGCGATAAATTGACAGCCAAAGTGAAGTGATTTCCAAAGCATGAGTGTCCTTGGAAACAGAAAATTCACATTTTTTGTACTTATAATCAATGGTTTTTTAAAAGTAAAATCCGCATGGAAATGTGTTTTTAAACTGACTCAAAAGGTGTTGAGCCAAAAAACAAAAAATCAATATAAATTGTCATATGAGTGGAAAATTGCAGGTTTTTTTTGTTTTGTTTTCAGTATTTTGTTGGGCGCCTGATTTTACCAAGATACCTCACAATTGTGAGGTGTGCTGACAAAATGAGTTACTTCTCAGATTTAATCCTTATGGAAATAGATACATCACGCTTATAAGTGAAATTTTTACAATTTATAAGTAGAAATAATAAAAGGCATTTTGTACTTTAAGAATGTAACAGCATCAATAGAAAATCTACAAATTTCACTCTAGCGTCGATTTTTGGCCAATATCTCCATTTGTGGATTGCGAGAAGTAACTCATTTTGTCAGCACGCCTCACAATTATTGGTTGTCTCACTCACCTCCGGAGAGAAGTTATCCAACATGACAATCTCGCTGCCGGCCTGAGCTGCCTCGGTGGCTTCCTGTACGCTGCGACACTCCACCTCTATCTTCGTGGAGAAGCCGCCCACCACACGCGCGTCCTTGACCGCCTGGACATCGTGACATACATGAAAGTTTAATTTTAGTAAGAGTTTTACGGCACTTGCAATACAATAAGGTCAAATAAGTGCCGAAGATTAGAGGTGTTACAAGAGAGTGACAAACACAAAAAAGAAGGAGGAGAGATCAGGACGATAGATGTTTGATAGGAAAGAAGGAGCAAACCACACTAGAGCACCCGCCAACCACCAACATATATGAAAGATAAGATTGGAGGAGATGAAATGAAATGAGATGAGAAAAAAATATGGTAAGATAAACTTCATTGGTTCACAAGGGAAATTTTGCTCTCTCTCTTTTTCTCTGTCTGTCTGTCTGTACGTCCGTCTCTCTCTCTCTGTCTGTCTATCTATCTATCTGTCTGTCTGCCTGTCTGTCTCTCTCTCTCTCTCTTTCTTCCCCTCCGTCTCTCTCTTTCTCTCTCTCTCTCCCCCCCCCCACCCCTCTGTCTCTTTCCCTCTCTCTTTCTCTTACACTCTAAACCTTTCATTTATCTACACTTCATCATGCACCCAAGCAAACACAAACAAACACACCACAAAAAGTGGAAGCGCACCCACTAACGAACATGGCATTGAACATAGTCGAAACAAAAGAGGAAAAAAAGAAGCCATAAACACAAGTTTTTTTTCCACCTGCGTGATGCTGCCAGCCGTCCAGATGTGGTTGTCCTTGAGCATGATCATAGAGGAAAGGTCGTGCCGATGCGTGGACACGCCCCCTACCAACAGGGCGTACTTCTCCACCAATCGGAACCCTGGCGTTGTCTTCCTCGTTCCCGCCACCTCCCCGCTCCACCCGCGCCGCGAGGCAATCTTCGCCAGACGACGAGCCATGGTGGCAATCCCGCTAGCCCTCGTGATGCAGTTGAGGGCGACTCTCTCGCCTAGAAGTAGGTGGCGCACTTTGCCGGTGACCGTGGCGATGGTTTTGATTGGCTCGATATACTCTCCTTCTTCCACGTGCCACTCCACGAGACAGTCCAGCTCCTTGAAGATGGCATCGACAAAAGGCTTCCCAGCGAAGACTCCGGCCTCTTTCATCAATATCACAGCGGTTTCTTCTTTCTCTCCGACAACAAACCCTGTGGAAGAAATATTGCTAAGAGTTAGTTTCTTAGCTTTAGTAAGAGTTTTACGGCACTTGCAACACAATAAGGTCATATAAGTGCCGAAGATTAGAAGTGTTACAAGAGAGTAACAAACGTAAAAAAGAAGGAGGAGAGATCAGGACGATAGATGTCTGAGAGGAAAGAAGGAGCAAACCACACCAGAGCACCTGCCAACCACCTGCAGTTAGTTTCTTTAGTACAGGTAAAAACATTATTGATATAGCAGCATTTATACATTTGCAACTCACCAAAATGATCTAAATCGACCTTGAATGATTTATATGATTTTTATAAAAGCTAAAAAAAATGTTACTCGCTAATATGACCTGTCCTGTATACCTAAAAATACATATAAAAGATTCATTTTCAATGTCATCCAAAGCAATCACTTAGAACCACGCTTACAATGAAAAAAAGCTTTTGCCATCATAGAAAAGAGAAAAATGCATGAAAGAAAAAAAAGCTCAGGGCTAAAGTAGGAAAAGATGAAGATGAAGATGGGGAGATTCCTTGATGGGTTGGAACTTTCTACTGAAATACCTCTCCAACAGCACACAACTTCATACTTCATCATCATTCTCATTGTCAAAATAAAATCTTACAGAAGAGCTAATACAGAACACACACATCACAAAATTTATTATTATTATTATTACTACAGTCAAACCTTGCTGTTGTACCCCCCCCCTAGCCTACCACCAGCCCCACCATTCCGCCAACTTCATGCACATCCCAAGGGTGGCGATATAATGAGGGTTTGACTGTATTTCAGCTTATGGAAAGGACTCTCCGGCTGAAACAAGATCATTACTGCCATAACTTCCAAATACTATCTCATTTTACAAACAGTCCACTATGATATAATGTGATGCAGCATTGTGAAATCAGGCGCTCGTCAAAATAATGAAATCAGAGAAATTGGCATTTTCCCGCAGTTTGGTAATTTTTTTTCAAATTTTCGTCTTTTGGTTCAACACTTTTTATATCTATTGAAAAGCACATTTCTGTGATGATTTCAATGAAAACGTTTGATGAAAGGCGCAAAAAACGTAAATTATTTGTTTCCAAGGTCTCTTAAGCTATGTAAGACACCAGACTTTGGCGGCCATTTTCTCGCTAATGTTACCTCGGAAATCAGGCGACCCCAACCTCCTTCAATTACAAATATCTTGACTTCTATTCAAGACAGATGGGCAATTTTTTATACCAAGCAAGACAAAAGAACAAGCTTTATATGCTACCAATAGCTCCATATACCCAAAAATTGACGAGAGCCTCATTCCATCAAGTCGCAACACATATAGTGTAAAGCACATAGAGCTTGCTGTTGAGCGGGGATATGCACTATAACAAATGCTATTTATTATTATTATTAATGCCGCTACTTAAAGATAATAGCAAAATAAACACCCTTCAGCACCTACCGGCATAGTCGAAGCTCGGGGTGTCTTCCTTGAACCACTCACGGACCAGATGTTTCAGGCTGGTCGGGGTCAGGATGTGATACAAGCTCAGGTTGTAAACCTTGCGCAGAACCGCGTCGTCACTCAGAGAACTGGACGTCGACTTGCTACCGCTCCGCAGTGAGGCCATGACCAGACACTATCCAGAGGCAGCCACTGCAGCAGTTTCACCACTCTCCTCGGAGTTATCAGCTGAAAAAACAAACAAAAGTAACGGAAGAAAGGTAAAAGACATTGTTCATGAATTTTTAATAAAATCCAGACAATTTTGCGATCATAGGCATACACTGATTTTACAATATTACCTTTCTCAACTTTATTTTCAGTGGCGTTTGCTTATATTTTATCAGTACTTTTTTTTCAGTAAATAATTATGTTTAAAACTCTCTGAAGTCAGTGTACCCAAAGCAGTAGGCTATTAGTATTAGACTGCTTTTGTCCTAGGAGTGAACAAGACAAAATTAAACCTTAATTGAGAATTACATTGAAAAAGTTACTTAAACCTTTTTATTGATTTTAACTGTTCTAGAAGAGCTGTTGGTTTGCAAACACATTGGCAACAAAACCAACTCTTGCTTTCATTTTACTCAGGTCCTTGTCCTGATATAAAATACAGTTTAGTGAAATAATTTGACCAACAAAAGCAGTGGTTATTAATCCTTATTAAATTTCTCCCTATCTCTGTCAACAATCTATGCCACTGTTCAACGTTTCAGAAAAATGTCAGTTTAGAAATATTGCAATCCCAGTAACTATGAGACCAGAGGTGACTAAAACAGTGCAGTGTGTTTACCAACTACATAGACTTGTCATTGAAACCCAAAGTTTAGCATTTTAGCCAGCATTAGTTTAGGCTTGACTTAAAGAGAAAAATCCTTGACAAGAATCAAAGTACAGTTAAAATACGATAGTTTAACCCCTTCGAGACGGAGACCTATATATGACGTAAGCTGTTTGTAATATTTTTTTACATGGCCAACGAGACAAGATGCTGCAGTGACATTGACATACGGTGTTCTTCATGCCTTGCAAAGCATGAGGACGAAGATGACGAATGCCGTTCATCATAGGTTGTATTCTGCATACTGCTTCTATTACATGCATTCGTAAAACTAAGCGCAGACTCACATTCTTCGGGAATAATTTTTCCATACAAAGAAATCTTTTCCTTTCAGACATAGTAGTATAAAATTTGCAAACCGGGTCTTTTAGTTTTAGTAAGAGTTTTACGGCATTTTTTGCAACACAATAAGGTCATAAAGTGCCGAAGACAAGTGGTGTTACAAGAGGGTAACAAACACATAAAGGAAGGAGGGGGGGGGGGGGATAAAGACAATAGATGTTTGATAGGAAAGAAGAAGCAAACCAAACCAGAACACCCGCCAACCACCCACAAACCAGGTCTAATTAAAAGAAACTGACAACTAAATAAAGCCCTACTATGTGTCCCTGGGGATCCAAAACTGTGCCAAGTGAAGCACGAACTGACCCTGACCATGTCTCATGAAGGGGTTATAAATGTGAGGCATGCTGACAAAATGAGTTACTTTTTGCAATCCACAAATGGAGATATTGGCCAAAAATCGACACTAGATCTAGGGTTAAATTTGTACTACAATAGATAATTTTCTATTGATGCCATAAGAAGTAGCCTTTATTATTTCATACTTAAAAATGGTAAAAACTTAACCTATAAGCGTGATGCATCTATAATCCTTTGATCTCGAATCCGAGAAGTATATCTAGATATCTAAAATCTAGATCTAGAAATCTAGATGTAGCCTAGATTTCTAGATCTAGATCTAGATCTAGATCTAACTCATTTTATCAGCACCCTTCACAAAATAATATTATAAGGTTAGATGAATCCTCCTCTAATAAATGATGGCTTTCAACTATTAACATTAAAGTATCATACTGAACAAAGAAATATTTCTTCCCCGATTGTTTTTGTTATGACTATGAAATTAAGAAATGTAGACTCTGTGTTCAGTTGATAAGACGAATAAGTCTGAAATGTCACGATGACTGAGCCAGCCATTGAGTCGCATTGCTGTACGAAATGGAAGGCCTAAAGCAGACCAAATGTTTCAGAGTTGTTTTGTATGGGTAGATAGGTTGGGTAACTTTCGAAGCAGCATAGAGTCTTTTAAAAGGTGAAATGGTACGTTAAATTAACCTGAATTTAAACTCAAACTTACATTAGAGGAGATTATTCTGCGAGGTAGAGACTTCAAACTACAACTTCTAGATTTAGAATCTCTGTGGTTTCCAACGCCAATATGAACTCCACTGTAAGGAATCTCTAAGAGACAGTAAGTAGACTGAGCAGTTTAAAATCGCTTCTTTATTCTTTTCGTCATTTTTAGAATATAGATCTAATATTATAGAATCTAATAGTTCGGCTACGTTTTAGTTTTTGGCCAGTATACTAGAAAGAGTATTCTGGCACTTTGACTTAGACCACAAATTGTAAGTCTATAAATAAATGCTGAAGTTAAGAGATATAACTGGAGCGTAATATATGCCTGCCTACATTTCTTTTTAAAAAAGGAGGACGAGGAGAGATAAGGACTGTAGATATTTGAAAAGTTAAGAAGGATCCAACCACACCAGAGCACTCACCAGCCACTCTAATTTACTACTACTACTACTAGTACTACTACTACTAGTACTACTACTACTACTACTACTACTACTACTACTACTACTACTACTACTACTACAAAACTTCTATAGTATATTATGCAACAGTTCCAGGCCATGGTCTATGGGAATACATTATAATGTATTACGTCATGTATTATTATTGATACGGTCCAAGTTTGATAACTCAATAAACTCTTTATGAGAAGCATTCTTCCGGAGTTGTCCCCCTTATTCAGACACCTCGATTCTGAACTTGAACTTGGCCTTGGCTATCACAAGGTTACGATCAGACTAAAATAAAAATGATTTTGAAAAATCAAATAAGAAAAATGCATAGATCTGTAGTGAGAGGTTTACGGCATCTTTAACACTATTCATCCTCAATGCCTTTCACCCCTGACAGGGTATAGGCCACATACAAGCTCCCTTCATTTATCTCTGTCCTGAGTCATCCTTCCAAGCTCGTTTTTTAAAAACACAATTAGATTGTTTTATTGTTTCATTGTTTCAGAAAGCAACATCCCTGAATTCCGGGCTTGTCCATTGATGCCCTGTTGCTGTCTCCAAAGTGCCGCTGAGGGTTTTTCTACTGATTCACACAATTCATCTTAGAACTTACGTGGGTTTTGAAAACTTTGTGCATTAGCGCCTAGAAAACGCTTCTTCAAGTAAGAGAAAACTGTTACATTCGTCTGTGTTGTTGTCGTCCTGAAAAAGTATAGCTTTAACATCCTTATCAACACTAGTAGGCCTGCAAATACTCTCTCTCTCTCTCTCTCTCTCTCTCTCTCTCTCTCTCTCTCTCTCTCTCATGTCAAATAGGAATTTCTTGTATAGTGACTCTTCCAAGGACACAATGTCGGACCAAGCTGAGGTTCGAACCCCCGAACCTGCAATCTCATGACTACGGGTCTGGTTGTTTCTGTCTCACTTGCATTACCCGTGGACTCAGTGAATGTGGTTGTTCATTCAAGTTTCAATTTTATTGTGACCGTTCGTGAATTTTTATTGTGTTCTATATTTTTTAGTGAGTGCATTGCCAGACTCACTGCGTGACTATTTTTCTCATAGAATTTTTAAATAGATATATATGTGTTCCGCGCAATTTACCGATTGCGCTGCACGTTTTAACGATCGTTTATACGCTAAAACGATCGTATAATTGCGCGGCAATTGAGGTGGGAGTGTACGTTTGGTTGTTGTTGTTTTTTTTGGTGGGAGGTAGGACGGGAAGGGTGGCAGGGGTAGAATGGTGGGGGTAGAGCTTTCTGCTGATCTTGAGTTTGAGTGTGAGGTTGTTGGAGTGACGTGTACACTAGATTGCTCCTTGAGGTTTGCAGTTTTTAGTTTTAGTAAAGGTTTTACGGCGCTCGCAACTGCGTAAGGTCATACGAGCGTCAAAGGGTGGATTTCAACAGAGAAGTCCTTACAAGGAATCAGACTTACTCTGCTCACTTCTCTAGCTTCAACAGCACGAAGTCTGCTTCGACTATCAAGGCACCCCGGAAATAGTGGGTCACAAGAGTGTGACAAAAATACAAAAGAAGTAGAGGAAATATGACAATAGTAAGGATTAGGACAGAAGAAGCAGCAGTTCCCTGTTGTAGATCAGGCACAGTTATGACCGTGACATTGATGAATCCGCCCATTTACAATTCTACTGTGCATGAACGAGAAATGTCCCCACTTTGGGAATGGCCTTAAGACACTTCAGTCAGTGGCGGTACAGCAGGTACAGCACGGACCGAACTGTATCGAAGTGGATCTTCATCATCAGAACCACGCGCTGGAGGGGAGGACAATCTACTGGAGGTATTTGTTTGTGAGAGAACGAGGAAGAAGAAGAAGTTTGTGAAATAATATGTCTTCAAACATTATCTGTTCATTATTTCAGTAAAATTAGAAAAACACCTTTCAGTGGGACTTTCTTCAATGTAGATGTTTTATTTTTGCGTTTATGTGAAAAAGGAAAATGATAAAAAGTATTAATTACAGTCAGAAAAAACAACAACTGCATAGATAAAAGAGGGTAATACGTATGTTAAGAGAAAACAAAACTGTGTTTGACAATAATAAAAGAAAGATTGTATACAAAACTGTTTTTGATAATAATACATGTAATAGAAATATTGTATACAAAGCAGTTTTTGATAATTATAAAAGAAATATTGTATACAAAACTGTTTTTGATAATTGTATGCTTGCTCGTATGATTCTTATAACCTTATACGTATGTTTTGTCGTAGAATGAGAGTGCGATTTGACTCTGTGATGTGGAAAGTGGTAGTGGGTGGCTGGTGGGTGCTCAGTGTAGTTCGCTCCTTTTTTCTATAAAGCATCTATCGTCCTTATCTCCACACCAACTTGTTTGTGTTTGTCACTCTATTGTGACACCTCTAATCTTCGGCACTTATATGACCTGATTGTGTTGCAAGTGCCGTTAAACTCTTACTTAAACTAAGCCAAACAAAGAAAAACAAAGTGGGTAGTTGGTGGGTGCTCTGATGTGGTTTGCTCCTTCTTTCCTATCAAACTACTATCGCTTTTTATCTCTCTTCCTTCTTTATTATGTTTGTTACTCTATTGTGACACCTCTAATCTTCGGCACTTATATGACCTGATTGTGTTACAAGTGCCGTAAAACTCTTATTAAAACTAAACTAAACGGAGAAAGACAAACAGCAAAAGTATTATTTAATAAAGAGCTGCAGTGACAGGCACCATTATATTAAAAAGTATATTTCTCTGGGAGCACTAAATGGCAGAATTAAGTGTTCTGTATTTAAAAACCTTCTGATTTCTGTTTTTGTTTTGTTTGGCCCATGCCATAGTAAGCATGTTTAGTAGTATAAGGTTTTACGGCGCTCGCAACTGCTAAGGTCATATGAGCGCGCTAAGCATGTTTACGGCACTTGCAGCACAATTAGGTCATATATAAGTGTTGAGGATTAGAGGTCTTAAAATACAGTATAGTAACAAACACAAAAATGAAGAATGAGAGATAAGGAGGATAGATCTAGATGTTTGAAAAAATGTTTGCACTGATAAGATACAAATGTGAGTCACACAATTAGTTTTTAGTACAGACTAAGTTTAATTGTCTCATTAACTTATGAAGGCACACTTTGGATAGCAAAACTGACTGAAGCGTCTTAAGACCATTCCCAAAGGGGGGATAGTAACATGTTCTTATGCTCAGTAGAATTGTAAATTGGTTGATTTATCAATGTCATGCTCATAACTGTGCCTGAACTGCAACAGGAAATCCTGCTTTTTCTTTCCCAATCCTTACTATCGTCATTTTCCCTCTACTTCTTTTGTATGTTTGTCACACTCTTGTGACCCGCTATTTCCGGGGTGCCTTGATAGTCGAAGCAGACTTTGTGCTGTTGAAGCTAGAGAGGTGAGCAGAGTAAGCCCGATTCTCTGTAAGGACTTCTCTGTTGATATCCACCCCTTGACGCTCATATGACCTTATGCAGTTGTGAGCGCCGTAAAACCTCTACTAAAAACAACACAACCGAATAACAAAACAACTTCAGAAACCACAATGTATTTCAAAGTGTAGAAATACATTATATTAAATTTATTTTTTATTGACATGTAAAAAAATATTGTACACTTGGTTAACTATGGAGGTATTCAACAAACTTGTTTACTCACAAAGTCATATACTACGTAAATATAATAATGTAACAATGGTCGCTTTTAAGGACAAGCGGGCTAACCCAGATTTTGGGGGTTTCCAGAAATCTCGACCTATAGGCCTTCTGAAAGTGGACATTGCCCTACCAATAGGAGAAGTTTGGTTTCATTGGTGTGTATTTGTTTGGTTATGGAGAAAACTCTCCTTGTCTATTAAACAAACTGAATGAGAGCTCAAAAACTTTAGTGGGTGGTTGGCGGGTGCTCTGGTGTGGTTTGTTTCTTCTATCCTATCAAACATCTATCGTCCTTATCTCCCCCTTTTCTTTTTTATGTTTGTTACTCTCTTGTAACACCTCTAATCTTCTGGCGCTCATATGACCTTATGCAGTTGCGAGCGCAGTAAAACCTCTACTAAAACTAAAAAAACCTTTACCTTCTATTTTCTCAAAACAGCATGTTCCGGGATAGCCCCCTTGTGCCTAAGAGCGACCATATGTGTTGCAACGCCACCGACCAAATTCACATAGTTCAGGTAGGAGGCTGGATGCCTTTGACCCATATTGTCAGGACCAACACAAAAACGAGAGATTTTTGAGCAAGTACACTTCAGTTTGGTAAGACAACAACGACAACAACAAACAACAACAGAAGCAGCAATCACTATCTCTACTTCTGCTGTCGTTGCTGTTGCTGTTCTATCACCACAACTACCCCGACTACATACAGAGGTTCTATCCCCCCTCCCCCATTAATTCTGTCCTTTGACTTTGAGCAAAATTTCGTATCGCAGCTCCCTGAAGATTGTAACAACAACAACGACAACAAAAATAACAACTATCACTACCTCTACTACTGCCGTTGCTGCTGCTGCTGCTGCTGCTGCGGCTGCTGCTACTGCTGATGCTACCACTACAACCAAAGATTCTCTGCTATTTTTGCTATAACTACTCCAACTATTTAAATAACTCTACAAAATATCGTCAAGGTTGTGAAAAACGCTTTCTGTTTTCTGATCTAGATATCGTATCGCGGCTATGCGAAGATTGTAACAATCACCACCACCACCACCACCACCACCACCACCACCACTACCACCACCACCACCAACAACAACAACAACAACAACAACAACAACAACAACAACAACAACAACAACAACAACAACAACAACAACAACAACAACAACAACAACAACAACAACAACAACAACAACAACAACAACAACAACAACAACAACAACTCACTACCTCTACTTCTGCTGTCGCTGCTGTTGCTGTTACTATCTCTACAACCACTCCGACTACAGACCGAGGTCCTAAAAAAACCCATTAAGGAATTTTCTAGAATACAGCTAGCAGGTTTTTACATAAACGTTGATCTGTTAAGACAAATCGATACAAGTATACGACCAGAGATATCTAAAACGCAGGTCAGCTTTGTTCCTGACAAGGGCACCAGAAATGCTATATTCACCTTAACAATGTTAATGGAAAGATGTATTGAAGCACAGAAAGATCTGTATTTATGCTTCATAGATTATTCAAAGGCGTCCGATAAAGTTAGACATGATGAGTTATTTTAAATACTGGAAAAGCTAGATATAGATAGAAAAGATTTAAGAATTATCCGGAATTTGTACTGGGACCAAAACGCTGCTGTACGAATTAATGGAGAATACAGTGAATTTAAGCAGATTAGAAGAGGAGTGAGGCAAGGATGCGTTATGTCACCCAACCTCTTTAACATGTACAGTAAAACAATCCTTAGAAACATAGAAGAATGTCCAGGTCTCAAAGTAAATGGAGAAAATAATAATAACATCAGATATGCAGATGACACAGTTTTAATAGCAGGCTCAGAAAATGACCTTGAAATGCTTCTAGATACTGTTGTAACTGAAAGTGAATGTAAAGGATTAGTGTTGAAGGAAAAGAAAACAGAATGGATGGTAATATAAAAAAGCAGCAAATCCTGGTTGTAATCTCATTAGCAAAGGTGAAAAGATCAAACAAGTCTAACAGTTTAGATATCTAGGATAAATGATAACCTTCGATGCCAAATATTCCACAGAAATAAAACGGAGAATTACAATGGCTAAGGCTAGTTTCAATAAAATGAACCCAATCCAGAAAAACAGAAACATCTCAATGAACACCAAAATGAAAGTTGTGAAATGCTGTGTATGGTCAACCCTTCTAATTGGCTGTGAATGCTGGACAATCACTAAAGACAGTGAAAATAAAATAGAAGCAACAGAAATGTGATTTCTTAGAAAACTGCTGAGAATATCGTTAAAAAAAAGAAACTAAATTAGGTAGTGCTTAATGAAGCCAACGTGGGGCGCTCAATGTTAAAACAATCAGGAAACGACAAATTATGCAGTTTTAGGGACACCTGAATAAACATAAGGGTCTTGAACATCTAGCTCGCACTGGCAAAGTCTAGGCAAACGAAGCAGGGGTAGACCCAGAGCAACCTACTTAGGGAACCTAGACAAGTGGGTAACGGGGAAAGATTAGGGAAACGATCCGAGCAAAGGAATGAATGGAGGACCATGATCGCCGATGTCTGTCGCAGATCTATCACTGGACGATGATGATGATGATGATGATGATGATGATGATGATGATGATGATGATGATGATGATGATGATGATGATGATGATGATGATGATACAAGTCATTGTGCGAAAGCTGGAAAGTCTATGTTCCATAGTTGAGGAGATATTAATTCTGTCCTTTGGCTTTGTTGATCTAGATTTGATGTCGCGGCCTCGCGAAGATTGTAACAACAACAGCAACGACAACAAGAATAACAACTATCATCACTACCTCTACTACTGCCTTTGCTGCTGCTGCTGCTGCTACTACCACTACAACCAAAGATTCTCTTATATCTTTGCTCCAACTACTGCAACTACAAAACTACAAAATATCGTCGAGGTTGTGAAAAATGTTTTCTGTCCTCTCAGCATGTTTTCGTATCGCAGCTCTGCGAAGATTGTAACAACCAACAACAACAACAATTAACTCTATCCTCTGACTTTGATGATCTAGATTTGGTATCCTTCGACTTTGATGATCTATATTTGGTATCCTTCGACTTTGATGATCTAGATTTGGTATCCTTCGAATGTGATGATCTAGATTTGGTATCCTTCGACTTTGATGATCTAGATTTGGTATCCTTCGAATGTGATGATCTAGATTTGGTACCCTGTGACTTTGTTGACCTAGATCTGGTATCTGGGCTCGGCGAAGATTGTCCCCGCCAGTTGTGTCTCCACCAGCTTGTCTATGGCTTCACTCTGTGCCACGGTCAGGTAGTCTTTCCACTGACACACTTCGCCTGGTGAACACAGGGGGGGGGGGGGGGTATGTCAGACAGGCAGACACACAGACAGACAGACAGGTAGTCCTTCCACTGACACACTTCTCCTGGTCGATAGTGGAGGGGTGGAGGGTTATGGCAGACAGACAGACAGATAAAGGGCAAGTCTGTTTTGACCCACAAAGTTACTAATAGATCTCATTGAAGTGGTACAACCATCTAGAAGCAAGTCTCTCTCTCTCTCTCTCTCTCTCTCTCTCTCTCTCTCTCTCTCTCTCTCTCTCTCTCTCTCTCTCTCTCTCTAACCCTTTCGCTGTCTCTCTGTCTCTCAGTCTCTGTCTCTGTCTCTGTCTTTGTCTCCCCCCCTCTCTCTTTCTCTTTCTCACTATGTGTGTATGTGTCTCTCTCTGTCTCTCTCACTCAGATACACACACTCTGTCTGTCTGTCTGTCTGTCTGTCTGTTTGTCTGTCTGTCTGTCTGTCTGTCTGTCTGTCTGTCTGTCTGTCTGTCTGTCTGTCTTTCTGTCTGTCTCATACTCTCTTGTTTTACCAACAAGAATGAGCGCATAACATAACAGGTTCCCCCAATGTTCCTCAAGCTAAAACTTTGTACCGTGTGTAATGGGCCAATAAATAAATAAAATATATTATGTTAAAAACAAAGATGGAAACCAGAAATCGCTAGATGCAGCGGGAAAGATGGGTCAAATCTGTCCCCACGGTTTTATGAACCCCCCCCCCAAAAAAAAAAACAAAACAAAAAAACCCAAGCAAAAAAAGAAATTATGCAAATTGAGACCAAAATTGTGAAATTATGCGATTCTGTTAATTTTAACAAAGAATGATAAATGGAAATAATCAGAATTTTTGGAAAAAATTATCAAATTTCGCAAAATTATGCGGGGTGCATAAGACCCCGGGGACAGCCAAATCGTGGGTGTCACACTATCCTGTGTAGGTAGGCCACTTTTTACACCAGAGACCAAAAAAAAAAAAAAAAAAAACCCCACACGCAAACCCCCCTCCCCCAAAACAACAACAAAAACAAATAAAAAACAAATAAAACAAACTAACCCCCCCCCCCCAAAAAAAGCCAACCAATTTTTTGTTGTATTGTATTGTTCCTGTCAGAAATCACGAAAAGCTAGAAAATTGTAGGCCGTGACCATAGCGTTTAACAGCTTTTGCGCGTGGTTGGCGGGTGCTCTGGTGTGGTTTGCTCCTTCTTCCCTATCAAACATCTATCGTCCTTATCTCCCCTCCTTCTCTTTTGTGTTTATTACTCTCTTGTAACACCTGTAATCTTCTCCACTTATATGACCTTATTGTGTTGCCAGTGCCGCAAAACACTTTTTAAAACTTAAAACCTCATTTTGGTGCTGTGGAAAGGCGCATCTTTGGTAGAGTTTTGGGAGGATGTAACTAACAATCGAAAAATTATCCAAATTTGGATTTGAGTGGATTGCAATTGATCGCTTTTAAGGAGAAGCGGGCTAACCCAGATTTCGGGGGTTTGCTGAAATCTTGACCTACACCAAAAGTGGGCATTGCCCTACCTATAGTAGACGTTTGGTTTCATTGGTTTGTACATTTGTTAGGTTATAGAGAAACTCTCCTTTTCTTTGAAAGAAACTGAATAAGGATCAACAAACTATAACTTCAATTTTCTCAAAGCATCATTTATCGGGATAGCCCCCTTGTGCTCAAAAGCGACCAGTTGTGTTAGTAACAAAATAATAATTATGTATTGGTTACCTTTTCTCAACAGAGCGTGTGTGGCCATTCCTTTACTCTTTAAGTCACTTTTCATTGGGTGAAAACTAGTGGCTGCGGCGATGGCGTTAATCGTTTCGTCATCGAGATTGACAGACAGGAAAGACGCCAGTCGCTTCACTGTGCCAACGGGGTCCTGGAAAACAAATGTGAGTCAGTGTTGGGAAATCAGGCGCTCGTCAAAACAATGAAATCAAAGATACCAGCATTCTTCTGGACGCTGGACATAAAAAAAAAATTAGATTTTTAAAATGCTCAACACATTTTATATATATCCATAAACACATTTCTGGACAGAAGTTACTGAAAATCGTTGATTAAAGGAACAAAACACTTACACTTACAGTTTTTAAGGACTCTCAGGCTTTGGATGTCACCGATTTTTGGCAGCCATTTTCTTCCTGATTCTATTTCCTAAACCAAACAACCCCACCTCCTTCAATCACAAATATCCCAAGTTCTATTCAAGATAGGTGGGTAGACAGTTCCATCAACATGTTGACAAATAAACAAACTTTAAGATGATACCAATAACTCCAAATGCTCCAAAATTAACGAGAGCCTGATTCCATCATTTTCTGACACAGTTAGAAAATAAGCCCACTCCCCCAAAAATGGATACGAATGCAAGTAACAAGAATAACGTCGATATTCTCAGCAATCTTCTAAGAAACTACATTTTTTGTTTTCCATGATTATTCTTGGGTTCCACTTATTAACGTATGATAAAATGCAATAGAAGAAGAGAAAAAAATAAAAGAGAAGAAGAAGAGACAAAGAAAAAAAGAATAGAAAAGACAAGGAAGAAAAGAATAAAAGACAGGACAAAGAGGAAAAGAGAAGAAAAGACAAAGCAAAGATGAAAAAAAAGAAACAAAGAAGAAGAAGAGAAAAGACAAGACAAAGAAGAAAAGAAGAAAAGAAAAGACAAGACAAA